CACAGTCGGGCCCAAGCCGGTGGTGCTATGTGAGCAGACATGGTGCTCTCTGGCTCAAATTTCGATGAAAGCACAAGCCAGAGACTGTGCTTCTGGAATGCGCACCTCTGGCCAGCCTCACTCCTTGCTCTTCACACCCTCTCTGCGCCTGAGCAGGGAGTTTGGCTCACCCCTCCACCCTCCCAGGCATGGTTTGACATCGCTCTTAGACACAGAGTGAAGTGAGAACTGCTTGTGGTTTGGGCTCTTAGAAAAGCCAGGCTCCATTCTTTTTGTCTTATGCCACGTGCCCCCATCTCCACCCATCACCAAACCAACATCAGGTTCATCTCCATCAGAGAGGCCTAGAGAGGTTCCTACTGGCAGAAGACCACAGGGAAAGACTGTGATCCTTAAAGCCCAGGGTGTCTCTGGTGCTGTGTGGGGAGTGCGTGCATCTTCTGCTTTATTGTCCTGAAGGTCCTACAATCCTGCCTTTCCCTTGTACCCCAGAGTTCCACGTTCCTTCCCAAAGAGGACCCCCACAGACTTGGGTTGGAAGCCTTTGACTGCAAGGCTGAGCCCTCAGCATTTTCCAGGTCCCTATGGGATCTGTGCCCCACAGAGATTCTTATTTCCTTCTCTCACAGCCAAGTATGACCTAGTCAGAGGCTTAAGCCCAGGATCTTTCTTACTCTCCCCAGTTCTCATCATTCCTGACCCAAGACCAAATCATTTGAGCAAGGTATCTGCAGCTACCGGAGAGTCAAGGATAACGGGGAAGGAAGATCTACCCCTCTCACCCTCAGATATTTTGTGAAAGGAGGGGGAAGCATTCAGATGGAAAGGGACAAAAATGCCAAGAGGTCTTAGACCTCATTACCCATGCAGAAATCTCGTCTTTGAGCAAGTGGAGCTCCACTCCTTTGGGGACCTGGGGTGACTCTAAGGAAGTTTTATCCACTGAGAGGGAGGAATTGGAACAAAACTACCATCCAAATGGGCCTCGGAATCCTGATGAAATATCAGAACGACCCAAAATAAAGGCAGAAAAGGGACTTTATTTCTTGCCAGTGTGTCTCCTTCAACTCAACTCACTTTTGAGTTCAAGTAGGGTTGAAGAAAGAGTCTTATTTAGCTCAGGAAATAAATTGTCAGATCTATGCTGAGGTTTTCTTGGGAGGTGGGAAGTATAGGGGGTGGAAACAGTAGGATTTCTAAAGGCAAAATGCAGACCTAGAGCTATCCAGGGAAACTGGAGGCTGCAAGCAGCTTCGCCCACATCCACCAGCATGAAAGAGTGGGAATGTGGTAGGTGGGTAGAGCGAGGGGGGCGCGGGAGGAGAGCCCTGGGCTCTCATTGGATAATCCAAATGCAAACCAGGCTCTCCACTGGTCCGTGCTGAAGACCTTTCCCTGGGTCCTTTCCAAGGAAGCCTTGGGCAGCCATCCTCACCCTCTATCTCCCTGCCATGATCATTTTGCTCTTGCTTCCAGAGTCATGCTGACAGCAAGCTGCAGCACAGGAATCAGTGAACCCTAAAGCAGGGGTCCTCAAACATTTTAAACAGGGGGCCAGTTCACTGTCCCTCAGACCATTGCAGGGCTGGACGACGGGCCCCGGGACAAGTCGACTGCTAAGCAGGACAGGCAGCGCAGCAAAAACACCTGGTGGGCCGCATGTGGCCTGGGGCAGTAGTTTGAGGACCCCTGCCCTAAAGGAACAAAGGCTCCCGCTCTCTGCTTAGTCCATGTCTGGCTAGGCTCAGAAAGCTACACAACAATGAAGTCATCTTGCACTGATCTGCCCCTTCTATGCTTTCTCTGTGGCATCCGACCCTCCCTTGCTGCCTCACCATTGTATAAGACGCTTGATCCTTTGCTCATGCCTTGGCTTGACCTGAGGGAACAGGGCCAAGCCAGAGCAGGGGTCACAGCCCAGTGCCAGCTGTGGTTACACCTGTGGCTGGGGAGGTGATGGTGAGGACGGGGCTGCTGTGAGCTTGGCCCAGAAAGGAATTCCCACACAAGAGGGAGAGACAGGGTAGCCAGAGGCCAGCTTCTTGGCGCCCAGATTGAATGTCCTTAGCATCTAGTCTTTTCTTGAGTGAGATTGCATGGCCAAGCTTGGACACACCAGGAGGTCTTTGAGGTGAGGTGGAGAAAGGTCAGACTGGGCTGGGTGGTCAGGCAAGGATCTTTGCTCCTCTACCTCCCCGTCTGACCCTGCTCACACTTGCTCAGACCTGGGCAGACCGATCTACTGCTCCTAAGGATCGGGCTTGTCCCGCACAACAGGTCCTACCCAGCATCATCGTCCACCACTGTCTGTTTGGGAATCTTGTCAACCGTACACTGGGTGATTAATCTTAGATCTAAGACTAACCACACTTTCAGGTACCCAGGGTCACCTAATGCTAGACTGAGTGAGGAAAAGTCACTGTAGACTTTTTCCTAGAGAGTCTTTAAAATCAAGTAGTTCTAGAAGGAAGTTAGGGATGGCATCCAGCCCTGAAGACCCATTAAAGACTTCTTTGTCTTGGCCGTAGGGGTGGGGCTATGATTGAAGAGCCTTCAGGACTGCAGCCTTCCAGGGCATAAGGTGGGCTGCGTTCTAAGGGGCAGCAGTGTGGCTGAGAGCACTCTAAGTTCAGGCAGGTCTGTGTCGGTCCTGTTTCTGCTGGTTTTGAGCTATGAAAACCCAGCCTAGTTACTCAATCTTTCTAAGCCTCAGCTTCCTTATGGGTAACATGTGCCTAGCTTTGAGTAAGTGATTGATGAGATAGACATGATTATTGTTAATGCCCCACACTGATCCCATTCCTGGGAGCTTGGCAGTCAGTTCCAGGATCTGGACACATAATGCTAGTAAGAAAGACTCACTGCTTCTCCAGGGCATGTCTTTGAAAGGCAGTGCACCAGATTTCACCTCATCCTATGAAATCTTAAGGGTAAAGTTGTTTCTTACTCTCTAAGCTTCAGAACCAGCCCCCACCAACTACATGCACTGTCCCTCCAGAACAAAGATCCAGGGAGCACCTGGCAAGCACAGTGGGTTCCTAAACAGTGAACTGTGAACCTTGGCAGCCAAATCCTCCCAAGGGTAAGCTTAAGTCCCACAAAGTCACTATGAAATTCTGCAGATGAGATTTGTACCCAGAGGTTGGGGAGCTGCAGAACTGGCTGGCTACCTGAGCCCCCTTGAACTGAAGCCCCAGTCCAAGTCACATCTTTTCTGAGCTGAGTTCAGCTCTCTAGCTCTACCCTATGCCAGCTAACAGGCTGTAACATTGGGGTAGATGCCCTGGGACTTTAATACCCAGCAAGGAAGACTGGAAAGCAGGGCCTGGAGATGAAACATTCTGCTCCCGTCTCAGCCAGGTCCTCTTTCTCCTCAGCAATCTTTCCATGCTTCCCTGTGCTCTGCCATAGACTCTTCCACTGCTAATTCAGACCTTCTCAACTCTCCTTGGATATTCTCACTCATAGCACAAGGTCTTGCCTCACACTTCATAGACAAAATAGAAACTACCAGACAAGAACTCCCTCACTTTCCTGCCCTCAAACCTCCCAAAGACCCACATGCCTGTCCTTTCTTCTCCTTGCCTCTAGCTTCATCAGGAGAGCCCTCCCTCCATGTGTCCATGTTGTCACCTCCCCCTGAGCTCTGGACACATTTCCCTCCCATCTTCCCAGGGGCCTTTTTACCCATCTGCTCCTCGTCCATGCACCGGCAGCTGTATGTATCAGAACAAAGCGTAAACCTCTCCATGAAGGTTCTCCCTTCAGTATATCCATGCCTTCATCGTTCTAAGAACAGTTTCAACCCGTGGGGCATCCCTGTTCCAACCCTCACTCCCTGGTACCACTAAGAAGAGAAAAACTCAGAGCTGAGACAACCTGTCACCCAGGCCACTCTAGAGAATGGGAGCTTCCATTTGGAGTGAGGAGATTCAAATCAAACTGGACTTAAATGGGAGATAAAGAGTAAGTGGAAAGGTACCAGCCTAGCCTGATCGATGCCCTGTCATACGTGAACATGAGCTCAGCCATGTTACTTTACTTGTCTCACATTTATATCCTAAGAGGACAAGCTCCAGCAAGACCTGCTGGGACCTACAAAGGTTCCAGACCCTCTGGGAGCCCGTCCCAGCCCTCCTTCTCCATTCTAGCTCTGGATCTCCTACACAAAGCGCCTCATTTAGTGCCCCTCCTCCCAAAAGAAAGACAGTGCAAGTTTGGAGGAGGTATTCAAATCCATCTAGGCATGTCAGATCAGGGTCCAAGGGCAGACAGATGTGCTGGTGCAGCTAAGCATTCTACTCTCAGTAGGATCCCAGGACTTTTTAGCCTCTCTCTCCTGGGGTGCCACATGGGACTTTCCATGAGAGTTTGGCTCACCCAAGTGTGTATGTGCATGAAGCATCTCTGAATGATCAGTATGTTGACCTGCAAGCCCAAGGCCTGATCCTTCTCTGGTCAAGGTCACTTTTCCAAGATCCATAGGGAATACATAAAACCACTCTATCCCAGGGAGAACCCCACTGGCTTGCTTGTGCACCAAAGATAAAAGATCCAATACCTCACTTGTAGACCCATTAAGTATTAGCTCTGAAGAGGGGATCTCTGCCAGCCTTGGCTACTCAACCAACAGCAGAACCCCAACCACCAAGAGAGTAAGAGTATCAGCGGCCCGTGTAGTATCAGCTGGAGTCAGGTTTGAATTTTGCTTCGATTTCTCATGCTGTGTGACTCTGGGGGAACCATTCAAATTCTCTGAGCCTCTAATTGCTTCTTAGTAAGATGAAGAAAAACTTCACTGTATAAATCTGATCTATCTGTAGGAGTCTCGTGAAAGCAACCAATGGAACAGAATGTAAACACCTTTGCAAACCAAGCTCAACTAAGAAACTTCTTGTAAAAAGTTAATAGTAAATCAGGAAAAAGAATGTGGGTAACCTGGAATTTCTATATTTTTAATATTTTTGCAAAATTTCCAAATAAGAGGTCTGATTCAGTCATTTCATTAGAAAATAAAGTGTTTATTAAGAAACTATACACTGAACACTCCTATAAGTCTCTGTGGAAACACAACGCCCCATTGTCATAGCACAAGGTGGAGAAAATGGCAGAATAAAAGATGCTAGGATGGATGGAGCCTACGAGGCTGGAAATGAGGTAATGATTTACAATAATTAAAAAAAAATCATCCTCAAGCTTACTCCTTGAAGCCACATTTGGAAGGAGGCCCTGACCTCAAAGGGTCCCAGGGCATGACAGGGAATATCTGGACATGGAGCAATGGGGAGTGGGAAGAGGGAAGCTGGAGGGGGTGAAAGAAACATACACCTGGGGGCCCTGGACAGAACCTGAATCTCCAGGTGAGACTCTGGAAACTCAGGTGCCTGGGAGGCCACCCCAGATACTGGGCAAGAATTTGGAAAGCTTTATGTTTTTAACTCCCATGGAGGCATCTGCAGAATCAGGCTAGGAACCTGACATGAAGATCCACCATCCAATGGACTCAGGAAGTAAAAGCCTTAAGGGGAATCTAAACTCCCAGGTGAATCTGCCAAAGGCATAGACTCTATTCTCTATTGCTGTGCAATAGCACCCCAAGGTTTTTTGGGTTAAAACAATCACAATTTTGTCCCAACAGCTCCGCACAGGAGGCTCCCTATTCCCCTATGCCATGCTTTCCACCTCGGCAGGCGGTCTCTGCTGACCTCTCATGACAGAGGCCCCGTGGGCAGGAGGAACTGAGCCAAGCCAGAGGTCTACTCAACCAACATGTCAGCACATCTGGGTGACTTGCAGGCCCTACACATGTGCCTTTCCTGTGGAAGCAAGGGAAAGCTATCCCCTTCCCTCTCCCCAGTGGATTAAGTTGAAGATCAGGAAAACAAACCCCCTCTTTGGGAGAGGGTGGCCGTGGAGTAAGGCATGAGTCAAAGCAAGCAAAGTAAACACACATATTGACCAGAGAACAGGAGGACACTTCCATTGGTGCCATGAGAGGGGCTGGAGGAGGCCAAGTTTTACTTCTCTTCCCCTTCAGTTCATCTTGACCTTGAAATGCTGATTCCACTGGGTTCCAAAAGTTCTCAGAGTCAAGAATAAGTGGAAGTAGGGGAAGAGAGCCAATCCTGGGATCATGAACTAGCAGGAAGGGCCTTGGTCCCTGATCCCCTCGGTCCCTTGCGGTCCTAGCAGGATGGCCAAATCACAGGCAAGACCTCCTGCAGCCAAAGCTCACCGGAACTGCAGCTCTAGGGGCCAAGGAGGAGCCTGGAGAAACTCTCCTTCCCAAGGAGTTTTCTACTATCGCACTCACTGTGAGCCGTTGCAGAGAGAACAAGAAGGAAGGGGCAAGTGTGTCCAAAAACAAAAACAAAAAAGGATAAATTCTTTTCCACCAAAAAAAAATAATATATATATATATGTATATAAAGTGATTGGTTTCCATTCTTTCCTCTGAGACCTAACTCGGTGTCAATACTCGGGCCTGGCTCCCCTCCTCTTACCGCGCCGTCTCCACCTCTGCTTATGTTCTCTCTGTGACTCTTCCCCACTGGAGGTTGCAGGGCGACGAGGTCACTAAGAGGACAGCACGGTATCCTAGGGAGAGGCAGGGAGACCTCACGCTTCCAGGCAGAGAAAGTGAGGCTGGAGCATGGCTGGACTTCATCAGGCTTTCCCGTGGTGCTTAGGTTGTTTTTGTAAAGCAAGAGAATGGCTAGTGTGTTTAAAAGATGCTCCTGGTGCACAGGGTTTTAATTTTCTTTATTGGCTCTAAAAATGGTGGCAGGAGCTGCCTCATAGGCCGGGGGGAAAAAAGGAGCACAGTGATGATTGGAGGAAAGGGGCAACCCTGCCAGTGGTGGATGGAGGAAAACACCCATCGTGGTGGAGTTAAAGGGTGTGGGGTCACCAGTGGCTCATGCAGTTTCTACTTAGTTTCCCTGGATCCAAAGAGAACAAGGCCTAGAGCTTCCAACCTCTCAGAGGGCCCAGCCTACCAAGGTGACATCAAAACAAGGAGGCTTAAAAGGAGTTTTTAAAAGCCATGACGTCCTTTGCTGAAATAAACATTGACATCCTCAACATAGATGCCATGGTTAAGAGGCTTGGAATGTCCAGGAAGGCTTATTGGATTCAACATAATTTCTCTGAAACCTATAAAAAAACAAAAAGAAAAAAAAACAGAAAAACAGAAAAAAGCAAAATAAAGTAAAAACCAAAACCCCCAAAGAAGATCAGAACTAGGAGGGGCAACAGAGAGGGGGCTTGAAAGGGGAAGAACAGGAGATACAGATACAGATATATTGGAAACAGCCAAATGAACTGTCAGCAAAAGGGAAGGACAGGAGGAGGGGATTAACTTAAAACCAAGCAACTGGAAAGACTCCATTTTGCTGCAGCCTCCACTGAACCGAGGGAGGGAAGTGAGCAAAATATTTGGGGGCTGGGTCTCAGGTCATCATGGAAGAGGAGGAACAGCCTCTCTAAATGGGTCTCGGTCTGTAATCATCTTCCTGGAAGGAGCAGCCCTAATGATGCGCTGACAGGTGTGTGGGGGTGGGGTGTGCACGCAGGGTCACTATAGGGCTGAGGGGTGGGAGGAGAAGGCTCTGCTGCTGTACCAGAACTTCATTCTTTAGGCATCCCAGATGGGCATTTCTAATTCTAGGAACTAAACCTGCACAGACTAATTTGACCACACCAGGCTTCTTAGCCCGCAAACTCTTTCTCAATGACGTTTGTGCCTCATCTCACCTGGTCTATGGAAGGTTTGGGAAGTGATTGCTGGTCTTTCAACCTTCCCACAATTCCAAGATTTACAGGGCCTGGAAATACCCTGGAGAAGTAAAATTGGTGGTCACTGGACCAGAGGCTGCCTCAAGCAAGGAGGATATCCACAATGGCCAGCGCATTTATTTTCTGGCCACCACACAGCCCTGGACTAAATTAGCACTAAATACGTGAGTATTTCTGATCAAACAGCCAGAAAGATGTTGCTTGATCAACTCCAGATTTAAAAAGTGTCTGTAAGGAGTGTGTGTGTGTGTGTGTGTGTGTGTGTTTGCCTATATATTTGTGTTTATGCAGCTGTGTGGATAGGGTCAGCCTATCTTTTCATGGAAGCTGTGAGCAGGCAGGGGAAGACATAATAGGCTATTGGACATTGGCAATATGATGGGAAGAGACTAACACAAAATTTGGTTTCCTGGAGACTTTCCCCTCCTCTCGTCCAGGACATATTATAATCAAAACAGTGTTGAGTCATTTTGAGTGTTGGGACCCCTCCCTCTGCAAGGGAGAGAGGTCAGATTTGTGAAGATAGCGGGAACCTTCCTTATCTATGACATCATGTTTAGAGGGAGGCTCAGTTTCAAGATGAGATGACTCTGAGATAGCATCCCTGTGCTGACGCCAGACAAGGGCTCTCTTGAGTCTTGGGGTAAAGCAAAGAAAGGCCATTGGTCTGGGCAGCCTGCTGAAAAGGCTGGTGACAGGCCACAGCTCTCTAGGCCATGGCCCCTCTCTTGTTTCTCCCACACCCCTTACCTAAATCCTACCAAGCTTCCTTCCCTCAAAGGAGACTCCTCTAACCTAAGGGATTTTAGCACCACACACCCCAGTCCTCTGGAGTTTGGTAAGTATGTCTAAGGTCTTAAGAGTCAAAATTGGTAAGGGGAGGGGGGGTCTCAACTGCATAGAAAGATGTCAAAGGAGGTAACTCACCATGTGACCTTGGGTAAGACACATCCCCACTCTGGACCTCAGGTTCCTCATATATATAGTGAGTTGATGAGACTAGATGATCTCTATTGTCCTTCAAGTTTAATATCCCATGATTGTCTATGTTTGAAAAGACCCCTGGCAGAAGAGGCAGACATGGGGGAATTAATGGTCAGTAATGAGCCCCCCAAGTGCAAAAACATGGGGAAGTATTTTTTTTGAAGTGCACAATGCCAGAAACAGGATTCCAGGTGCTCTCAGCTCCTATGCCCACATTGCTTTGCCTGTAGGGGCACCTGGTTCATTTTATGCATAAAATCTAGATTCAGTATCCTCTGAGTATCTCACAGTGATATGAGAATGGTACAAGCTGGAGTCAGAGAAGAAAGATTCACCATCACCATGAGCCCTGTCCGACACTTTTCCTAATATGCTTGCCCTATGTTCCCTTTCTTGGGCCAGATCATCCCAAAATTGTACCGATCGCTGCCACTCCTGAGCCTGGAAGGATGATTCTTGTGACTTGAGAGATAATCCTGCTAGACTCAACTGTGTCACAGAAATTCATCTGATTTCTAAGAGGAAAGCAGCATGATAAAGGAGAAGAAGAGAAGACGGCAGGGGTGGGGGGGTGGTGTTTGGCCCTTGAAAAAGTCTTCCTTGCCTTTGCTAGGGTATATACCACTGGAACAACAAAGGTTCACTGGAAGCCCAAGGACTACAGTTCCTATGAAAGAGATATCATCATAGCTTCTCAGAGTGAAATCTCCTTTGGAGACCATGCAGCATCTGTGGGCCTTGGAAGGCTCCGTGTCGGATCCATTAAAGGCCAGGGCCAAGCCCGCCTAATCTCTGCCAAGGTCCCTGAAGCTGCCTTCGTGAACATGAGCCTTTTCCCATATGAGCTGGGATCTGAAGTTTGTTTTCTCTGGAACTCTTTCCCAGGTGGAGCCTTTCCAAGATTCTAAAAGCTGAAGGCTGATAGCATAAGAGGCACTGCTCCAAAATCCTCCATCCCTCCCCCTCTGTCTCCGAACAACCCCAGAGCAGAAAGGAAAAGGCATTTACTGGGGGGAGAGGAGAGGCGACCAGGACCTCAATGCACACTGAGAAAAGCATAGATTGGTGGAGAAAAGGCCAAAGAGGGACAAATACACCTCCAAAGAAGGCCTTCCCCACCAGGGGCCCAGGGACCCCCATGTCTAACCTTTTCCTCCATCTGTCAGCAGCTTTCCCCAAATCGTCCAGCATGAAGGTACCGGTAGGCCCTCTGTAATTCAGAACAGAGCCTGGTCTTCAGGGATTGTCTAAGTATTCGTTTCCTGAGAAGCAAGCCAGAGGCTTTGGGATCATTTTGGGGAAGGGAGGAGCATTGTAAAGGAAGAGGCTAGCGGAGAAGAGGCTCTGAGCATTGATATTATTGAATGAGAAGGTTTTAGAGCCATTCTCATTGAGCTCTAGCTCTGATTGAAGTAGGTTCCACTGCAGCAAGAAAAAGCCAGTTCCTATGGCAATGCAACAAAGAGGAAGCTCACCCTTGCAAGCTCCTGTTTTTCTGATACCCCAATCATCTCCTCTCTCATGGTTTTCAGTCGTGCCCTCAGCCTTGAGATTCTAGAGCTACCAGCTTCCCAGCACCTGCCAATGAAAAGTAATTCCTTCCTCTTCTGTCTACTCTCTTTTCATCTGACTTTGGATTCTCAAAGGCCTCCCTCTGCCTCTGTTTTGTCCTCTTGTTATCTGACATGTTAAGTTCACTACCTAAGGCCTTAATAAAAAGCCCAATACCAATGGAACTCTACTGGATTATTTTCAAATATTTCCCTCTTCAATTGTATTACTTCATCATCTAGAAGTTGCTACCTCACGGTAACACTTGGCACCAACATAGCACTGGCTGTGACAAAGGCACTGGCACCAGCAGGAGCTGAGATACACAGCAGGCCTGACACTGGGGTCCTCTAGGGCTTACCTAATGGGGAGCCAGGGGCCTGGAATAATTTGGGTGGGAGGGGCACCCTGCCCCAGACAGGGTGCCATTCTAGCCACAAGCTTCCCCAAAGGGTAAGAAGGGGTGAAATGTTGTTGAGCCATGCTGCAGACAGGCATGGGAAGAAGGGAACCCCAAGCAAGGCCTAGCTATAACAATCCAGCCCTCAGACATGTTGTGAGTACCCTGGAAATCTAAAGACCTATATAAGGTCATCGTCACAGTGCCAGGCATTGCTCATAGTTAATTCATTATTTCCCAACACCCTGACAAGCTGGATAGCATTAACTTCCCATCTTACAGGTAGGAAAATTAAGCTTCAACAATGTGGAAAATCAGGTCCAAGTTCACGTTGTGACAGAGTCTGAATTTCAATCCATCTCTTCATAACCCCAAAGTCTTTGTAATTAGCTACTTTGCAGTATGGCTCTCATTTTTTGGAAGCCAATACCCAGGAAGAGGTCAATACCCTTGACCTAGAGGTCAAGGCAGTGAGGCAAGGACACTCTCCAGAGGAAGCAGGGCCCTTTCAACAAGCTCTGGGCAGCATCCCTAGGGAGGGAGGCAAGCAGCACCTGGCCCCACCATTCCCTCCTCTGGCTGGCTGAGCCCAGGTACCTTCACTTTCTGCATGCTAGCCTGGGATGCCCACCACCCTCACAGAATGCTTTGCGTGCTTTGGAATCTTCCATATAAGGAATCTCAAAATCTGTCTGGACACTGACTCCTTCATTTTCATGTTATTTCTGGGAGTTTAGCCTAGGAAAGACGAAAAAGAACCTCATGAATGGGAGACAGCACCTTTTTTTTGCTGAAATTTTTTAAGGGAAAAATAAGGATACACATTATACATGGGTAGTATGGCTCAGGAGTGAAGGAACCCAGCAGGCCTCCTAGGGCACCAGCCCCCCTCCTGCCCGGACCCACTGGGCACACAGAGTTCCAGGCTAGGAGCCAGCTGGAGCGGCCTCTGCAGAGCACCACAGTCAGGGGAGGTGGCAGAGCTGGAGAGGTGGGCAGCAGCCATGTGAGGTGAGGGCCTGGCCATGTAGAGGGGACTGGGAGCCCTGCATGGGTCCCTGGGACTGCCTGGCTGCCCCCAGACCAAGTGGCCTCTGAAGCTCCTGCCCCACCACCCATGCACGTGGCCATCTGCCCCCAACATGGCAGGGCGAGATGTGCTCCTGGGAGAGAGGGAGGGGCAGACGGCTGCAGGAGGGTGGTGTGATTTGCACATTTACCAGGGGAGTATTAGCCTTCCCAGATGTGTCTCTCCTAGCTGAGAGCTGACTACTTCCTTGAGGGGCGTTTTCCTGAAAGTTCAGGCAAAAAAAAAAAATGGGTGTACATTTACAGAGTAACATATAGTAATGGTTCTGAAGAAAGGAGCAATTACTCAGAGCATAGTCACACCAGTGCCAAGGGCGTAGCACATTTGAGAATACCTCTAGAAAGCCAAGCATGGCACCCAGACTCTCCCCAGCACCCTCCTCCAGGCCACAGTGAGAACAAGGGGGGAGAGAAGAGTACATCATGAAGACAAGTTCCCTCACAGACACTTGTCTCCTGTTCCTTTTCCTGCCTGTGTGTGGTGGCCCCACCAAGGCTATGGGAAGGTGGTCACCACGGAATCCTCATGGTTCCTGAGATACAGTTATGACTGCTTTTTCTGTACCTTTGCTTGGATGAATCTAAATTCTTTCTTCTATTATCATCAGATACAATAGTCTGGTGACACTGACCCAGGCGGGTAAGCCCCAAATGCCTAGACTTGCTGATGACAAGTTAGGTTGCTTAGAGCTTAAATCAGTGATTCTCAACCTTCCTAATGCTTCAGCCCTTTAATACAGTTCCTGTGAGAACTGCTGGCTTAAATCTTTTATTATATTCTGAGGTTGCAAACATAACCCATAGGCCGTATATGGCCCTAGTATGCATCTTTTTTTAATAGCATGAATTATATATTTTTTAAATTTTCTATTTAGTTGCCAACATCTATAACCAGGGATATTTCACATTTACAATATCCCTATTTCACGCTTCCTTAAAAATCCAAGAGTTTTGGCAATTCTTGGCCAACATTTCTAAATAGTGATAATCAGCTAGAATAGAGTGGTGGCCACTCATTTAAACAAGGTCTATGTTCTCTAGTTTGCCATATTCCCCACCACTCCCTATCATCCTCCACCTCTTTACTTACTTACAATACCTGCATGATTTGTCTTCATATCTGAGTTTTAAACTTTACAACTGTGGCTCAAGGAGTGGGGCGCCAGCCCCATATACCAGAGGTGGCAGGTTCAAACCCAGCCCCCGCCAAAAACTGCAATAAATAAATCAATAAACATTAGGTTTATTTGCACTAGGTTATGGGCTAATATGTTAAATGCTACAGAATGCCATCTCTGCAAGCCTTGTTGACTGCCCCTATAATACCAAACGTATGTTCCCTCTGGTCATGGTTAACAATTATCAGAAACTGGCTAGAAACCTACAGCAGAGGGTCAAAGCTATCTCAGAGAGGGACGATTGCTGGGGACACTGTGCTCATACACTGCTGCCAGGAGAGAAGGTAGCCCTTCTGTCGTCAGCTGGCTGTGCCTTCTATACATTGCTTGATGTGCTCAAGGCATATGGCAAAATGTTGTTGAATATCAACTATCAGAACTTTTTAATATAGGTGTTATTTCATACAAAATAGTTGGACCTAAAGTATTCCTATACTCCTATCATAATAACCATGTTACAAAGGTTTTTATAGGACATCGAACTGTCTCTGTTCTTTATAGTGAAGAATGTTGAACTGAGATCCCCAACTTCAGAATAAGGTGTCTCTCCCTGTAAAATCCCCTTGATGCTGCTGGGAAAATGAGGAATGAGATGGCCCCGCCTAGTCTGGCTCCAGCTGTGTGCAGTTGCTCGGAAGAAGGGTGCTGAGGCTGAATGCACACCAATCATGTTTAGCTCATGGAATCATGCCCATGGCACACCACAGTGGGAGGCTGGCCACACCTGGATGAGATAAAGTGGCACAGATTCTCAGACAAAAGCAAAAGGCTCATCCTTGAGTCCCTGAAGGAATCCTAAAGGCTTTCCAAAGCTCATTTCTGATGGGTATTTTATGGGTATCTGATGGGTATTCTGATGG